GAGGGCTGCTCTTAACCGGGCTCAGCTGCGCAGCCACACAAAATGCAATGAAGGCACTTGCTGGCATGTCTCCGCTCAGACTACTTGCCTTTTCCAGGCTGGAGCTTGCCTCTGGTGGGCCAGGATTATCTGGAGATCCTCTCTGCCTGGTACTGCAGCTTTGGCAAGTGCTGCAAGACAGGAGACTGCAGGATAGTCAACAATATCACAGGTAGGAGCTGTGCTGTACTTGGGAGACCCCAAGCAGTGCTTGTCTCTGCTGCCTCTCCCTGTTGTCGCTTTTGTTGGTTGGTTGGTTGTGGGTTTTTTTTCTTTTTAAATAAGTGTATTTTAGCAAGTGATATAAGTAAAGGGCATTTCTGGGCAGGGTGCTGAGCCGGTGGGAGGGCGAGGGGCTGAGCTAAGTCCTGTTTCCCATTACTCCTTTGTAGTGCTGAGACTGCAAGAGAGTTTGCTCCTTACTGTACAGCATGTCTGCTCTGGTTTGCCACTAGCCCTGCCTTAATCCAGTAGCTCCCAGGCATATGCAGTGGGACCCAAACTGGCCCAGTATCCCGCCCCAGATCACAGGGTATAGAGAGACCTGCGTACGAGCCCCACGCAGGTGTCGCTGCATTTTGCTGGCCCTGAGACTTCTGGTATCCATAGGCTCTGCTGGGAGCTTGCGAGGGCTTCAGTGCGCTCGCAGTCATCAAACACCTCCTCCGCTTCCCAAAGGAAAAAAAGGAGTCAGTGGAAGATCTGTGTCTTTGTGCAGTCAGTGGCCAGTGCAGGCAGCCTGCCTCATTAACGCTGCAGCTTTAATGCCACTGGACCTGTTGGAGCGGGGCCAGAGGAGGCCCCAGCAATGCTCCAAGGGCTGGAACAGCTCTGCTGGGAGGACAAGCTGGGAGAGCTGGGGGGGTCAGCCTGGAGCAGAGAAGGCTCCGGGGAGACCTTATCGCAGCCTGACAGGACTTAAAGGGGACTGATAAGAAAGTTGGGGACAGACTTTTTATCAGGGCCTGTTGTGATAGGGTAAGGGGTAATGGTTTTAAACTAAAAGAGGGCAGCTTCAGACTAGATCTAAGGAAGAAATTTTTAATAATGAGGTGGTGAAACCCTGGCCCAGGTTGCCCAGAGAGGTGGCAGATGCCCCATCCCTGGGAACATCCCAGATCAGGTTGGACGGGGCTCTGAGCAACCTGATGGAGTTGAAGATGTCCCTGCTCACTGCAGGGGGTTGGACTAGATGGCCTGTAAAGGTCCCTTCCAACCCAAATATTCTATGATTCAGGCTCCGCTCAGACAGGCAGCCCCACCAGCAGGGCTGTGTGAGCGTAGTGTCCTGCCATGTTTTCTTCTCTCCTCTTATTCCCACCTGCAGCAGTAGCAGCAGCTGGGCTTGCAAGGTAAAGCTGAGCTCTTGCTCTCTGTCTTCTGCAGGGCTAGAAGCAGACCTCAGTGGGCAGCTCCATGGGCAGCACTTGGCCAAAGAAGCCGTTGTCCGGGCGGTGCAAGGGTTCCTGCAGAGCCCATGGCCAGAGAAGGCTCTGGTCCTCTCCTTCCACGGCTGGTCCGGCACAGGCAAGAACTTTGTGGCTCGGATGCTGGCCAGTCACCTGTACCGGGATGGGCTGAAGAGCGAGTGTGTCAGGGTGTTCATCTCACTCTTCCACTTCCCCCATCACAAGTACGTGGACTCGTACAAGGTGAGAGTCAACAACATGGTGTTGCCGTGGGGATGGTCCAGTGTACTGGGTCTGCCTGGGATGGAGTTCATTTTCTTCCGAGCAGCCCGCAGGGTACTGTGTTTTGGATTTGTGCGTAGAACAGTGTTGGTAACGCAGCAGTGTTTTGGCTGTTGCTGAGCAGTGCTTGCACAGCCTCAAGGCTTTCTCCCTCTTGACTAGATGACCTTTAGAGGTCCCTTCCAACCCAGACTGTTCTGTTCTTCCATTCTGCCCCCCCCAGTCAGTAGGTTGGGGGTTTGCAAGAAGTTGTGGACACACATGCACCAGACAGCTGACCTCAACTGACCAAAGGGCTGTTCCATGCCATTTACCATCGTGCTTAGCAATAAAAACTGAGGGGAGGGGGTTGTGGGGTAGGAGGCCATTGCTCAGAGACTGGCTGGGCGTCAGTGGTAGGTGTGAGTGATTGCCTTTGCATCACTTGCTTTGATTTCTTTCTTCTTCCTCTTTCCTTCGCTTATTAAACTATCTTTATCTCGACCCACATATTTACTTGCTTTTGCTCTTCCTATTCTCTGCCCTGTCCTGCTGGGTGGGAGGGAAGGAGCACGTGGCTGTGTGGTGCTTAGCTGCCAGCCAGGGTTAACCCACCGTATCCAGGCTCAGCTCCTCACGATCTCCTGGTGGCAGGACTGCTGCTGGGCCTCACGCTCCTCCCTGCTGCTCTGCAGGCGCAGCTGAAGAAGCAGATAAGCGAAACTGTGCAGCTCTGCAAGCAGTCGCTCTTCATCTTCGATGAGGCAGAGAAGCTTCATGTCAGCCTCCTGGATGCCATGAAGCCTTTCATGGCTCGCTACGACAACAAGGGCCAGATGGACTACCGGAGATCCATCTTCCTCTTCCTCAGGTGACTTCTGGGCCCCCAAAGGGATGGGGAGGAATAAAGCGGTGGAATTTATCCCCTGAGGTGTGCGATATGAGGGGCTCAGGCTGCAGAGGAGGGGAAAGAGATGTCTAGCTCCTCCAAGAGGGGGTTGCTTCCATGGTCAATTTTGCTTATTGATGCCGGGCATCTTCCCTGGGTACCGGGCATTCACAGGAAGAGCTGAGGTCCAGCTTAGCTGGGACACCTGAGCCACTGTCTAGGCCTTGAGTCAAGGAACCAGTGA